GACAAGTGCTCGGGCCTGGTGCACTGGGAAGACCCAGAGGGATGGGGTGGAGAGGGAGGTGGGAGGGGGGACCGGGATGGGGAATACATGTAAATCCATGGCTAATTCATTTCAATGTATGAAAAAAACCACTGCAATGTTGTAAAGTAATTAGCCTCCAACTAATAAAAATAAATGGAAAAAAAAAATAAATAAAATGGAGCTGCAGAAAAATACCATTGTATATAAAATAAACAAGGATTTACTGTATAGCACAATGAACTATATTCAATATCTTGTAATAACCTATGATGGAAAAGAATCTGGAAAAGATCAGATACACACACACACATATATATATATATACACATGTATGTATAACTGAATCACTTTGCCATATACCTGAAAATAACATAATATTGTAAATCAATTATACGTCAATCTAAAAAAAAAAAAGGAGCTACAGATACCTACTATATAGACCTGTTGTGAGAATTAAATGAGATCATAGAGCTCAAAAACTGTTATTCAGTTCAAGAGATGTATGAAAACAGCCAAACAAAAAGTCTTGAGCAACCACCACACCTCCACAATTAATAGAGTCAACAAAAAGTTACATAGTACAGGCTGGCTTCTCATGTTTGTAGTGTGCATACCACTTGTGCTATCAATGTCTGGGAGGCTGGAAATCTAGTTAAATGAGGAGAAGTTGATGTTTGTACTACTACTAAAGATATTATGTGGGAGTACCCTGACTTTTGAAATGTCTTTTTCTGCTTCTATGGGATGACTTGAATAGCTTACATTTCTCAGTGCCTCCGGGTTTCTGCTGCCCTTGAATTCATTTAGTTGTGGGTCATCTCATCATTACAAATTTGTTACTGCTGATTTCCAGGGGCTCCCCACAACTGGATAACCCTGTTATCTTTCTTGTCTCATGGTATCAGTGACCCAAAGCTATGAGATTAGCAGTCATTCACTGAAGTTTGTGGGCAGTGATTACATTGCACCTTTAAGTAAACAATTTAAATTTGAGATTTTGCCACATTCTTAAAAGTCCCCTGAGCGATTCTCAGTGGATCACCCAAAAGCAGATCAAATTTTCACACTTGTGGAGCATCTCTCTTCCTCCATGCCAACTTATTCCACTTTCCCAATCCTTCTGGAAACACTCAAGCTTGTACTTACTCATGCAAAGAAATAATTTAATTCTTCTCCTTTCTCCCCTCTAAACTTTTCTTTCTCCCACAATTAAATGGCTCATCAGTGTGTTTTTTGTGATGTTTCAGAGAGAGTTAATTGATACTGTCTCAGAAAATAGAAACTACCATAGTCAGTTATAGTTTCAAATCACCTTCCTCCCTCCCCCCACTCTTAGTTCATTCATAAAGCTTTTATCAAGTTCCTATTGTGTGCATAGTAGTGGTAAGCAAATGATAAACAATGTCTCTGAGTCTGAAGTGCTCTTCTTGGTTATCTTTGTCATTCTTGTCTGTTAACTATTGTGACTTTGGGGAACATCAGCAGAGTGAAAACCAAGATAAAATGTATTCTTTCCTAATAATGTGGGATTATCAAAATGTTGCTTCTAAGTCATTGTCTTCACTGTTGGAGAGTCAAAGTACCATATTAGAATTGATATTCCAAAGAGTAATAAAGTAAAAAAGATAGTAAAGACCTCACAGAACAACCAGGTCCTGAGAGCTAAAAAAATGGCCAAAGAAATGAGAAACAGAATCTGGGTTTAGAATTTAGATTCTTGTCTTTTTCACTTCTGGAGTCACAATTCTTTCATTGTCACAATAGGGCCATGCCTGTGTATTTCTTTGTCCCCCCTGGAATATTAATTTATAAGACTCTAAGAGAAAGTTGGCAGGTAATTATGTATAGTATTTTGAGGAAAAAGACAACAAAAAAACCACCACCAACTGGGATAGTCAACATGGTGGATACATAAGTGAAATGGGAGTATTAAAACTTCTATTGGGTAGACTATTCATATATTCATCTTTGGCTTTAAGGTTATAAATTTTGTAAAAACCAAAATTTAGTGTATTAATATGGCATACATGAACTCTTAAAATCCTGTTTTTAATGGCAGCAATGACTGAAGTGAAGTTACATCAAGGCATCTGAAAGAGGCCGTTAAAATTTCAGTTGTGATCTAAAAGGCTTAAGTTAGAAAGCTGACATATGTACCAGGTGCCTCCCTGCCTAAAATACTCTGTAAATTAAGACAGGATTCTCAGAACAATGACCAAAATGCACATGTAGCATTAAGATATTTTGTTGCCTCCTAATGATTCATGTGAAAAACATTAAATAGTTTTAGGTGGACATCAATCTTGTTTTCCTGCCCCTGTGGATTAAGCTATTTTATCATCTGCAGGAAATCAGAGAAAAATAATTGTATTGTAAAAATGATTTTGGCTTCCTTCAAAGTTTTTAATTGCTTTATTTTTTCCCTTTGAAACACCTGATATTTAATAGGCAGAAAAAGTACATGGATAATAAACATCTTTAGAAATAAGCAAGAAACACCAGAGTATTATTGATGCTGGTGAAGCCTCCCACAAAAATAGATTAATAGAAAAAATAAGGCTCTCTTCCATAAATTGGCTTAACAGGATGTGCTGTCGTAAGGTTCTCTACTGGATTGTGAAATACTGTCACTTCAGTGATGAGAGGAAGCAAAGTAAATTGTACTCACTAGTGACATGTCTGGCGATGCAGACATTTCACTCCTTGCTGAGAGCCCAGACACAGGGCAGAACTAGCCAAAATGGACAAGAGCATGGAAATGTTGCTCCGGAGCAACTCCACTGGTATTTTCAAGTTTTAGCACAGAATGGTGCCTTTCCCTGCTTACAAGAAAATTCCATTTTTCATCCTCGGGAGAGCCATGATTGCATCCTGTTTTTAATGCCTCAGATGGGACTGAAGCCTTTATTCAGATTAAAGCCATCGTCGAAGTGACATCAGGAAAGAATCTATCAATTAACACCCAGGGGACAGACTTGTCACCAAGGGAACAGTTTTAGAGGAGCAAAGGCCTGAAGGTATATTTTTATAAGACAGAGGAGTTGGCTACTTCCAGGATTTTTGATGGATAAGGTTGCAAGTTGAGATAATCCTATAGCGGGAGAGTTGGTTGCTCTGTACATAAGTAGTTAAGCTACAACATTCTCCATTTTGATTAAAGCTAACCTAGGTGTATTTAGTTTCCATTGGAAATATCCCTGTTTCCTTTTCTCTGGAGTGAATCCTCCCACAGGCACACTACTGTTTCTGTTATCCACAATCCTTGGCCAGCAAGGATGCCAAGCAGGATAATCAGTGTTGAGGGCAGTAAAGGAGTAATCCTGTGTGTTCATATTTAAAAGAAATATACTCAAACGGCTGCAAGAAATGGGCTGCAATTCATTTCTTCCTGTGGTTTAATATTCTTGGACAACTGGAAACACAGTTTCTCTCTGCAGAATGGTGTGCTAAGGGTAATTGTCAACGGAAATGACAAATTTAGAGAAAAATTACATCCTTTGGTCAGAGTGAAATAGTAATAGATAGCAAGACAAAAAACAACCCTTCTCCCTACCCACAAAGTTTAACTGACATCTTCTTGCAAAGGATCAGTATAGTGAATTGTTTAAGAATGTCAGCCAAGGGAACCTGAAAGGCTTTGTTTGTTTGTTTTAAATATTTATTTATTTGGCTATGCTGGGTCTTAGTTGTGGCATGTAGGATCTAATTCCTTGACCAGGGACTGAGCCTGGGCCCCCTGCATTGGGAGCTTGGAGTCCTAGCCACTGGATCAACAGGGAAGTCCTGAAAGGGTTTGCTTTGAATCTCAGTTTTATTAATCTGTGACCTTGAATAGTTCAGTGTCTTATTTATAAAATGAGGATGATAACTGCATTGCCTTATGGAGTTGCCACAAACAGAAGATATGTGACATACTTGGTACGTGCCTGGCATATAAGAAGTGCTCAAAAATGATAGCTATTGGTTAGCATAGAAGTATGGCTNATCAACAGGGAAGTCCTGAAAGGGTTTGCTTTGAATCTCAGTTTTATTAATCTGTGACCTTGAATAGTTCAGTGTCTTATTTATAAAATGAGGATGATAACTGCATTGCCTTATGGAGTTGCCACAAACAGAAGATATGTGACATACTTGGTACGTGCCTGGCATATAAGAAGTGCTCAAAAATGATAGCTATTGGTTAGCATAGAAGTATGGCTGTGTGGGAACATGGCTGCTTGATTAAAGAGGTAAATGGAGTTTACTGATTAGTTCAGCAAAGCACTGACACTGTATACTATATACAGGTACTGTGTTGAGTTTGGGGGTACAATGGCAAAAAAAAAGAGCCAGTATCTACCCTTATGGTGCTTAGACTTGAGTGGTGGTTACAAGCATTAGATAAAACACATGCATATAACTATATGAACTGCAATTACACTAAATGTCTTAAAGAAGATATAGCTAATGCCATGAGAAAATATAACAGGGATCCTAAACTGAACTTGGGAGTCAGGAAGGAGCTCCCTGAGAAGGTAACATTCAAGCCTAAATTTGAAGAATCAGTAGGAGTTAGCCAGATAAAAGGGACTAGGGCTGATGGTGTGTACTTCAAACAGAGAAAGCCATGTGTACCAAAGGGCTAAGATAGAACTCACTTGGCATATTTGAGGAAGAGAGAGCTGGTCAGTGAGAAGAAGCTGAGTAAGAGAGGGAAAGTGTGAGAGAAAAGAAAAAGTTTCAGGGGCAAGTAGTGGCCAAGTTATGCAGAAACTTCTAGGTTTTTGCTAACAATTTTGATTTTTTTTTTCCTAAAAATGTCAGGAAGCAGTTAAAGAGCTTTGAGTATAGTGAGTGACATAACCAGACTTGCCTTTTGTAGAGGTCATTCTGGCCACTGTTAGAGAATGGATTTGGAGGGGAAAGGATAGATGTACAGAGAAGTCAAACTTTCACTGGACAAGTCTTTGTGAAAGGTGATGGACTAGGCTGGTAAATCATGAAGACATTGGAAATCTGAGTGAGTTAGAGATGTCTGAAAGGTAGAAGTGAGAGGAGTTGGTGGTGAATTGACAGTAATTGGGATGAAAGAGGCGAGGCTCAAGGATAACTCACAGATGCCTTGGCATGAGCAAGCAGATAGAAACATATGTCAATTCCTGATGACCTATTTGAGTTAATACCATTGCTGCTGATAAGGCTTATAGATAGCCATTAAGGATAATGTCATTTGGTATAAACATTGATTTTAGCTTGGGAATGTATAATCAAAAATTCCTACTAGCGTTTTGTAAAAAGTTGCCAAATAGCTAGATCTCCAGTGCAAAAGTTCTTTTCTCTTAGGTACCCCCACTGCAATCCTAGTGTTTTTGATGGATTTTACACATACAAATGTTTTCTGGTATTTAATAGTTTCTTTGTTTTCTTCCTTTTCATTCTCCTTCTCCCCCTTGTCTCTCTCACAGCATCTAGCCCTTCATCATAACTTCCATGAGAGCTGCCTCAATGGGAGATGATAATAAGATGGATAAAACTAGAGCGCTAAATAGACACTTGCCACAGAAAGATAAGGCTAAAGAGGCGAAGCGACTTTCCCAGTGGCTTGCTGGGAGAATTGAATGGGAAGAAGAGAAGGGATGTTTCTTGTTTCCCGAAGTTGGAGAATTCTTGGATGTTTGTCATTGCTATAATCTCATACCTGGGGATACACATGGGATAAAATGCTATTTCTGCTGCTCCAGTCAAGCTGTTCTAGTGGTGACCATAGCATTTTGAGGTATTTTGACATCACTGCCCAAAGATAATGAGAGTATATGGAACTGTGTTATTTTTTCATTATATTTTTTTCTCTATCTCTGTCTATTGCATTCCTATTATTTTCGAACAAAAATTCAGTTAAAAAGGTAAATTAGAGAATCTTCCTAATTTGTTTGACTCTGCAAAGAAAACTTTGGCATTCTGGGTCTTGGTTTATAAACTATGATTTTTTAAAACTTCTGCTTTAAATTATTGATTAAATATTACCAATATTGTTAACAGATAATAAGCCAATAAAGTGACCGCTGTTCAAAATAACCATATAACACCTTCAGAGTCATGAAATGGAATGAGGTGGCTACATTTTGCAGTTTTTTGAGTAATACATGACACGTGCTATGGACTTAATGGGTTCCCCCACCCTGCCCCGCCCCGATCCATATGTTGGAGCTCTAATTCTCAATATGATGGCATTGGAGGTTGTGGCCTTTGGGGTTAATCAGGGTAAATTTAGGTTATGTGAGTTAGGCCCTTATGTTGGGATTAATGCCACGGCAGGGTGCTGCAAGTTGGATATATACAAGTCAGAAGTGACTCATCAGAATGCAACCAAGTTGGCTCCCTGATCTTAGACCTCTAGCCTAGAGAACTGGGAGAAATAAATGTTGTTTAAGCAACTCAGTCTAGGCTGTTTTGTGACATCAGCCTGAACTGACAAAGATACAGCATGGTTCCAGGACTTTTGTGTGTTTGTATCCTTTCTGAACTGAGCCTTTCCTTAGGTCAGGCATATGTTTCTTACATTGTTGTTGGGTTCAACAGTTGTTTATCCATCACAGTGTTCTTACATAGGTATCAACTGCTGGGAATTGTGTTTGGGTGGGGAGAAGAAAGAGTTTGTAAGACAGAGATGGAGAGGGAAAGAGATTGAGAATCCAGGTTCTGGTCTCTATTGGATCACTCAAAAAGGAAATGGGAACTAATATTTATTGAGTCCTTACTATGTACCAGACACTGTGCTAGGCTTTTTGCATGTGTTATTTGTCCTGGTCCTTGTAAGACCTTTATTTTATACACAAAGAACCTGAGGCTCAAGGAGGTTTAATANTTGAGAATCCAGGTTCTGGTCTCTATTGGATCACTCAAAAAGGAAATGGGAACTAATATTTATTGAGTCCTTACTATGTACCAGACACTGTGCTAGGCTTTTTGCATGTGTTATTTGTCCTGGTCCTTGTAAGACCTTTATTTTATACACAAAGAACCTGAGGCTCAAGGAGGTTTAATAATTTGCCCACAGTTGCACAGCTGGTAGAAGGCCGAGTTATAGTTTCAAACTTGGTTCTGGACCTCAGTTTCTAAGTTCTTTCCTATAATTCTCATTGCCTTTATGAGAATTTCTTCCAACTTCACTCAGTTCATTGACTGTGGAAGTTATGAGATAGCCTTCACTTAGACACTGCCCGATTCACTGGGGAAGTACGACAGGAAACACCCTGATGACACTGTATGCAATGACCAGATGATACCGCATACAGAACAAGTGGATAGGAGTTAGGCTGTAGGCACATTCATGTTTGGAGAAGAGCAGTGCACTGTGGTTAGAGTTAGCTGTGAATACCCTCTGAGGGGATCCACACACACACACACACACACACATCTTGAGAAGACCTCTGTGGTCTGTGGGATGTTTAGGTGTAGGACAAGACAGTGGAGGATGTCATTCTTCACAGAGATGATTATGAGCACTGAAAGTGGCAGAGCTGGTGAGGCGTCTCCATACCATGCAGATGAAGCCAAGCCCTGATGGAGACCTCCAGCCAGATTGAAGAGCCTGGCGTTGATCCCATTTTAGCGAAACACTCAGTTCAGCTCAGCACTTGTAATGGGGTCTGGGAGCTGCTTGTCCCTGTCCCCAGTGCTAAGCTTTTACGCTGTGCCAGAAACAGAAGCAGTTTGGTCAAACTATGCAAACGTTATGTTGGGCTTATAGTGCAAATAAGACTAAATTCTAGTTATTTTGTTTTCTGGTTTAGTTTGGATGCACAGGAACTCTTTTCTGCAAAGCTGATGATAAATTAAGCATGTTTTCTGTCACAAAAATTGACAAGATGAAGCGTTCCGTGGTCACTGCATTTCTGATTATGGAAGGATCATTAACAAGCAAACATCTGGCCATTATTCCTGATGAATCTGTTCCTTGATATCTCTTGACAAGGAGAGTGGGAGGGGTCAGTGAATTCAAGCACAGATGAACCGCGTTGTGATGACCCTGGCCAGTGACTCTAGTAGTTATTGTTAATGAAGCATTTTGCATAATTGATTATTTGAAACCGAAAGATATATCCATCATATTGTGCCATAGGGCACTTGCATTGGCTCAGAAGCCGAAAAACTGCCCAGAAGAATGTGTATTTGAAGCTGGGGAGTCGGCAGAGTGGATGCAGAAGACAAGGAGGGGCTGATGTGAAGCATCCATTAGTTGCGGGTTCCTGACATCAATCTACAGATAAAGGAGCAAAAAAGTAAAAGGTCTCCCCCAACATCCAGAGAGCCTGGTGCTCAGTGGGGTGTCCTCACAGACAGCCTTTTCCTGAGCTCTGGGGACAGACAGCGCCCTGCCCGAGTACTTGCCATGGCAGGTGACAGCTCAGAAGCTTGCTGAGAGAAGCGTCAGGGAGGGCATGCCCCGGGACAGCCTTCTGCTCTGGGTGCGCTATTTCTGGAGCCTGCTGCATAGAGGCAAGCTGCTCAGGCACATCTTTCTGGGGGCTCTTCTGCCACCTCATCAGGCCATGTGCTCCACTCGAGCTCAGGGAGAAGGACAGACAACCAAGCAGGATTCTCCTTGAGCTCAGACAGGAGAGCGACTTCCTCCTCCTCAAACCCTCCGGCTCCAAAGATGTGTGCAGCAGCTTTGTTGCAGGTGGAAGCATCTTTCCACCTGGCAGCCGCCTTGGCCGCCGTGCTTCATCTCACGGCTGAGATTTAGAACCACTGTCATAGCGTTGGAAGGGGCATCAGACATCATCCAGACAAGGCCTCCTGTTACAGGAGACAGCGCGAGCTCAGAGAAGTGACTTGGTAGACACTGAAGAGGCGGCACAGGTCTGGGATGGAGCATAGAGTTCTTTCTGTCCTACTCTCTTCTGAGTTCAAACAGGAATTAATAATAGGTTTATAGCTATACAATAACACAGAGAGTCAGGGCAGAAGCAATTACTCTCTACTACTCCCTCTCATTTTCCTGCTCTGCTTTTCTTCCCAATGGTTTGGTTGTCTTTTCACAGTGCCCCTCATATCTGTCCCATCTAAGGCCTCCGTGTGCCACCACTCTGGTTCAGGTGGGAGAATGTCAGTGACATCCCTGCCTGTCTCCCTGCCTTTAGCCTCTGTCTCTCCTCTTACAGTGCTGGTTAAATCTGACGTTTGCATCCCTGATGAGAATTCTCTGCTGCTCAAGGTTTGCCAGTGTCATATCACTTCTAACAGAGGAAAACTAAGACCCTGAGTACGAGATTCAATTTCATCCATTTTGTGTTCTCAACTATTAGATAATGGAAAGTGAACCAGCCTGGGAAGCTGGGTTGCTGAGAGGCACCTCAGCTCAGCCATTAGCCGTGTAACATGGGAATGGCAAATAATCTCTGAGATGCAATTTCCTTATGTATGATGTAAGGGGTTAGGATTGGATGAACATTCACACATGCATTTTCAGGTTGTTCTAATTCTAACCTCCACGCTTGCTACTTTCCATCATGATTCCTGTACTTTGGTAAGTTCTACCTCCTGTTAAAGTTATTTTCTAGCACAAACCATACTTCCTATCATTTAATTTCAGCCTGTTGAAATTCCATCCTTCTTCCAAGACACAGTCAAAAAGCTGGTGGTGGTTTAGTTGCTAAATTGTGTCCGACTCTTGCAACTCCATGTACTGTAGCCTGCCAGGCTCCTCTGTCCATGGGATTTCCCAAGCAAGAAGACTGGAGTGGGTTGTCATTTCCTTCTCCAGGGGATCTCCTGACCCAGGGATCTAACCCAGGTCTCCTGCATTGCAGGTGGATTCTGTACCAATTGAGCCAGCTGGGAAGCAGCCAGAAAGCTGCCTGGAGCCATTTCTGACTGCAAGCTCCTGACTATGTTCTCTTAAACCTCATTTTTGTGCTTCTACAACACTTTTCTTCATGCCTACCTGCGTACCCATCTTATTTTTCTTTCTTACTTACAGGTATATCTGTGTCTTACTTATCTGTCTCCCCTATAATATCTGGCTCAATGCTTTCCAAAAAGTTAATGTCCAATAAATATTTGTTGAATTGAAAAACTGTAATTTTTGCCAAGAGAATACATCTTTTTGTCTTTGAAAACTTGATTGGGTATACCTAAATTCACCAAGAAATTATGTAATGAGATTTAGTTATAAGTCACCTGGATATTTTTGCGAATTTGTTCATTCAAGTATTATTGAGGTATTCAGAATTGAACTAGTCTGTTTCATTATTGGACAGTTAGACACACATGTATTAATTGGAAGTATCTGTCTTGTCTGTTACTATTTACTTTTGTTTTTTAGGAAGGGGTCTTAGCCTATATCTAATCATATTCCATGGAATTAAACACATCTAGGTATATTTGGCAGTTGGGTGGGAAGGTTCATATACGTCCAGTTTGCATAAGGGAACAAGGAAAGTCCTTAAAGAGAATCTATCCTGAAGGCAGATGGAGTCAGACCATCTTGGTCAGTAATAAAGACCCAGTAGTAAAGGGAGAACATGTCCTAATGAGAAATGATAATTACAATACTTAACATTTATTGAATCTTACCAAAAGTCAAACATGGTGCTAAGAGCTTTATAAGCATTATCTTGCTTAATCTTCATTCTGTCTATTAAGGTAGGAACTATTATCCATCTTTTAGTGATGAAACTTAGGGACATCAAATGTATCTGGTAAATATTTAGTTAGTGACAGAGAAAGAATCAAACCACAGTCAGACCTGACAGATTGGTCTGACTCTAGAGCAGGGTTTGGCAAACTACAGGCGAATATGGCTTGTGGCCTGTTTATTCTGCAGCCTCTAACTAAGAATGTTAGTACATTTCTAAATGGTTGCACAAAAACAGACCCAAACAAGACAGCAGGCATATGAGCCTTGCAAAGACTGAAATATTTACTATCTGGCCCTTTGTAGATAACTTTGGCTGAGCCTTGAGTTCTAGTACCAAACCCCATTGCT